AATAGCATGTCGGCAGTTCGCACAAAGCAAACTCCACTTCCTCAAGAATAAACTCACGCCCTCACTCGAAACTGGGCGCAGAAACCTGTCACAGGGTCAGACTTTAGCCTGTTGTAGCCTCAGTCGAAGGAATTCCATCCATCCGCTGACAGGATTCCATTCAATGATTCTATCCGCCAGGCTGGATCCTAGCAGAACACGAAATACGGCCTGAGCGCGAGTCGTGATGTCGACACCTGAGTAGCATACCTTCCATCCTCATAGCTTCAGCATTGAAGATACTTGTCATTTCGTTGAAAAATATTCAACAATATCGAGCTGGTACCCTGCTAATACGGCAAGCCGATGCATCGATAAAGACGTCGGTATGGAACAAAGTTTGCACTACCTATTGAGGAACAAATCCCCCAATCATGAAGTGTGGACTTAAATGAACCAACGTACGCTGTGACATCGTATCTACTGCATGTCACTCCCTGAATATGGATCGAGCATGATTCGAAACGTCGGTGAATTTACGCATAATAAATTTTATATCATGTTTAATCCTATGAATAACTTGTTTCGAATTGTTTTGAATTCCTGAATAAAAGAATCTACCTCCGTATTTAAGGTTATTTCCAAATGTTGTCGGAAAGGCAGGTGAAACAGCTGCTACTTGCTCAACACACCAACCGAATACACCGAGGATGGCTAAGCATGGCAAAGAGCAAGAGCCTCGAATGACTGCACTCCAAACTCGCTTCATCTGTTGAAGCTCAGACGCAGGGACAGGATCAGGAACGCTTAGCAGAGTATCTGCTGTATTTGCGTCAACGAGTAGAAAGGGAAAACGACCATCGAAACCGCGTGAGTGATTGTTGACTCAAACAGTCCGACTGCATGAGGCTTGAATAGAGTTCATTGAGATACACAGTAATTGGCTAGGCGTAGTGTCGTAGGAGATTAGAACGTTTAGAAACTGGCATCACGGGAGGTCTGTGACTTGAAATTTCGAAGCGCTTAACAGTTTTAGTACAAGGCGCCGAACACTACATGGAATAAGAAAATATTTCCGGTTGAAAACACACTTACCTTTATTTATTCCTCCATGTTCTAAGCTGGTCTCATGCAAACCAATGAATTGTCTCGGCTCATCCGCACAATCTCATAGGTGCGAATAAATATTTTCTGCTCAATGAATATTTCTAACGAGCCAACTTCCTTTCCTGAATTTCCATATCTGTTTAGATCACTGTGTCTGGATAGATTGAGCCTATTCCTTACGGTCTTGCCATTTCACCCTCGTTGTGCTTCCACCTTCTTAATACGGTTCAGCCATTGCTGTTGCTTCATCGTTGGAATTATTGTCTGTATGATGAACAACGACACAGGCCAGAATACCCCCAGGCGAATGCCTAGATCAACAGACTTCATCACTCATCATAGAGGTCAAACCTCTTTCTTCCCTGCTGCCTCCCTGAGATAAGCTTCCGTGATTGCCTGTGCAACGAGTATTTGTACCTGTGGAGGTGGCAGACATCATGTGACAACCGACGTGTCATACGCACATATCTCTGAAACTGCCGGGTTTGAATTGGATAAAAAGAAAATTTTCATCGCTAATTTAGTTGAACAAAAAATTCACCCCACGTTGGTTCGATTCGAGAAATAGGAAACAAGTCGCTGACTTACCATCAAACAGCGCAGCATGATTTCCCGGTGTTGTCATGACAGAACGGGCGCGTGGCCATCGTTTCTGGTGCGGGCACTTAATTAGGGCCGTAATTCATTTTGATTCACCTTATAGCTGATTATGCTATGTGAATATCAGCACAAGGTGTAAACCACATTACTACTGTAATATCAAAGCGCATTTCATTTATGATCGACCAATTCGAAACTGTTTCCTCCCCTGTTTGTGTTTTTGTACATTGACAGAATGGTCAGGCGCAACCAGAGTAACGAGAGTCTAGGTATATGAGATGTGAAGTCGAGAAGGTTGCTGTTCGCAGACGACCTTATTTTGCTGGCATCTTCTGAAACTGATCTACAGCGCTGTCTGAAAAAGATAGTAGAGCAGAGCGATGTGGCCGGCATGGGTGTGAACGCATCTAAAACGAAATGCCTACTGCTTTCTCGTTCTCCTGCCCACTGTTATATTCAGACAAGTGCAGCAACAATGAAACAGGAGGAGAAATTGAAATACTCAAGGTCGTGTTTACTGGTGATTAAAAATGGGAGGAAGAAATCGCCAAACGAATCAAAGAGCCCGGCGGCGTTCTGTGACATGTAATCCGTTGTGACTATAGATGAGCTAACTCTGGAAACTAAGCCCTCTGTGTTTACGTCGATCTCCCCTCCTGGTGATCACGGATCACGACTGAGAAATTTCATTCGCGGGTGCAAGCGGCTGAAATGAGCTTTCTAAGGCGAATCGCTGTGCCCACTCGTCTGGACATAGTTCAATGTACAGATATCCGATCTTTGGTATACAGCCACTGAATTTCCAA